CATGCGATTTGTCTGCACCTTACGCGACCCCGGGAAACGTAGGGAGAAGCGACTCCGGACGAGCGCGTTGTCAGAGTCCACAAATGTGTTCCAAAACGACCGGCAGTCAGTTATGGACTCGCTCCATCGGTAACTGATGGCGATGTGGTCGATTTGAGTTTGTGGCCGGCCTGTTGTAGGAGGGCACCAAGTGGCCAGGCGACTTCGGCTATTTCGGAAGTTAGTACTGCACAAAAACAGCCTGCGATCAACACACAGCTGAAGCAATCGTTCCGCATTGTCCGTACGTACCGAGTCCAGTCCATGTCGACCTCCCAATTGAGTCTCAGATGCACTGAGCCTGCCCACTTGCGCATTCATATCTCCGGCAACCACCACAATGTCTGAGCTTTTAGCTCGCCGCAGCAGAGCATTCAGGGCGTCGTAAAACCTGTCTTTGACGGTGTCAGAGCTACAATCAGTTGGGGCATGTGCAGACACGATAAACAGACATCTATCAACTTGCCGCTGGTGAGACTCCTTCACAGATGTTGCCAGGCGAACCGCACAGAGGCGGAATCACCGGCAAGGCGCTCCGTTATGGCGTTATTTTATCTTCAGTCGAGATATTTTTAGAAAGACCGCCAAGGATTCGCTGCATGCTTTGAAAAGTTAGCAACAAAAACCGACTGAACCACATACCTTGTTGAGCTGAGGTCATTAAATTGATGATACATTTCTTCCATTGAGGATGAACTCGTTTCGACGTTGATTTCTGGTTCATACGGTTTTACTACAAGTTGAGCTGATGGGACTATGTTAAACTGTTTTTTAAGGTGTTACACCCATGGTCCAAGACAACGTTTAAGTGAGTAAACTGGGGCTCCGTTCTTTTCGATGATCGTTCAGCTGACGCCCTAACCGGTTGGGCCAGTCCGTCAGGTTAGTTCTAAGAGGATGCAACTTTTTAACGTTTCAAAGGCTTTCTCCATTTCCCGGGCTTTAATGACACATTTGCCAGTCCTTATAAAAAATAAAGAGATAAACGTTCAGCTGTAACACCATTTTAGTGTCTGGCTACCATACCGCCCAAAAGAAGCACGAGAACTGGGATAATATGAGGGTTCCCAAGCCTACACGGGGGAAGTCGAGATGCAGAAGTTGGGTTCAAACCACGGAACTTACGTCAGTAAATTCGAGCTCTAACCACTGAGCCACCTCGCTCCTTAGCATCTTCCACATTCAGCTTTTCACAGATCTGCGTGCACCTCTTACAGGTAAGTCACCTGATGCTGGTAAGTTGTCCTGGAGTCAAGAGAAGATACCTTCAGTGACGATATTCAGTGTTTATTGCACATTGTGCACGTGATCAGAAGCAAATATCTCCAAAAGTGGAGGCCATGGTTGATCTTTTTTCAGTCGTCATCGAAACCACAAGTATTTTATTCATTGTGTTGCGGACGTTCCTCAGCCAACTGAACTCGGTAGTGCTAGACTAGAGACGGTGTGCAGACGATGATTGACCTTGCATCAACTGACCTGTTCCAGAGAAAAAGCGAATAGATACGCGTAAACGGAGCCCAGCGTTGTACCCGTGAATAGACAGTATTGTATCAAAGCTCTCCACTGTTAGCTGATTTCCACATGGTCTAAATGAGTCCAATGCTGGCTTGCAGTGAGTGGCCTCCAGATCATACGGTGTGAGCATTTGTGTTCAAAGTTTGTACTGGCCAGAAATACAAGATGTCCAGCATGTCAATGAAAAAATCACTTCATACTATCTGCGCAGTGGGCGTGAACTCCACGTGAAGCCACGATGGGCTTCCTCAAGAGTTAATCGGCCAACCTGAATATTTATATCACCTGCCGGAATCACGATTTCCGTACCTCTTGCTGACCGGTAAAGTCGGTAGGAGCTGTTTTGCCAGTATCAGAGTTGTCATCCATCGGAGCGTACGCTGGCAAAACAATGGTCTTTACTACGCCGGGATGCGCTGAATTGATAAACGAGTTAGCCTAAAGAACAACGACGAACATTTACCGAAATCCAGTTCAATGAATCATACTTATCCCTGAGCCAGCGCATAGCCCTGACGATAAAGATACCATGAATCATTGCATCAGGACTATCAGAAACCCGAGTAATGAAGTGCGAGCAATCTGGACTTGTACCATACAATTTGGAGCTTATCACCCAACTGGGATCTTGTACGGGTTTCTCGGACACAAGATATTTCGGTTGAAATAGAGAACAAGTTATGAGCAAGGTCTATCTGTTGCCCAGTTTGACAGTGTACACACAATTAAAACAGCAATGTGGAACAGCCCCTTGAATTTAATCAGGATTTGTGAATTATTTTACAAGCAAGGGGTGTGTGAGGAGTGAATGAAGCGCGGTAAAAACGAATCAATTTAATATAATCAATTCAATTTGCCAGCTTTAAACCGTGTGCCACATGTACATTAATTCCAGCTGCTACCATTTCGATCACCGGAAATAGGGAGAGTGCGGAAGATGCGGCCAAGCCCTGGGGTTGATAACATGCTCAGATGGTTCGCGAATAGGGTAGCTACGCATGGAAGGCGGTAGATATGATACAAGGGCGCCAGTGACTGCGCAACCGGGCCATTTCTGCAAGTGTAATTAACCATCGATGAGTTGAGTCCCGCAGTCGCTACCGAGGGAGGCGGCAGTTGTTGATCGAAGTTTAGTGGTTAGTGTTTTCATACTTCATTTCCAAGTCATACATTGTCCACCTCTCGGTCGCTTCCACTTAGTACAGGGCTGGGCGAAGAGAGCTCTGCGAGGCAGACGGTCTGACATGCGGAGCACATGTCTTGACTAGCATAACCTATGAAGCGTGAGTAATTCATCTATCGCGGGAGAGTTCCTTCTTCTTAGGACCATCTGGAGTACCTCAGCAGTACTGATCCAATGTTTCCACCAGGCCTGACCGATGCTTCGGAGACACCGATGATCAGACACTGACATCTGTCGTATGTCATCTGTGCGTAGAGGCCACGCCTTTGATTCGTTCAGCAGTATGGGTCGCAACGCTGCTGTGTAAACCGCATCATTGACAGACAAACTGGCGTCATGTCAGTGCCATAGGTGTCGCAGCTTGGCAAAAGCGGCCATGGTCTTCCTGATTCGAGAAGTAATCTCATCTCCACCCAGTCCACTGGAACTTATACAACTGCCCAGGTAAACAAATTTATCT